GGGGGAGGACGAAGGAAAGTATGAGGGTGGAGAGAAGGGGTGGAGGTGGGAAGCGAAGTTGCAGTACCCACCTTTGAGGACCTTTGAGAACATGTCCAGAAACCTCTTGTAGATGGAAGAACGCTGGTACAGAGGCATCAGCATGTAGATGTCCTTTCCTTGTTTCCCGATGTCTTCGTCTAACGCGTCCCCTTCTCTGTCAATAAAAAGTTCAGGGTGAAATGGTGCACCTCTTTCAAAATTAGGTCAACAGAGTTGTGTGAAATAATGCCAGTCAGCGATCTTATTCGTTTTGCACATTATTTAATATATTAAAATCGTTCATTGTATTTGAGCCTTTATGGTGCAATTCAATGAAAAACAAATTTTCATCTATACACATAACAGAAGGATGATGAAATGCTAAGAAAAATAGTTCAAAACAGTGATAGAGCCAGGTGTCTGTTGCTTTTATTTTTCATTTTTATTTTCCCCTGGGGTTGGGGTTGGGGGTAGAAGGTTCATTTTTTTTCTTTTCTTTTTTTTTTTGGGGGGTAGCTGGTTCTTTTTGTTTGTTATGTTTTGTACGTTTTTATCTACAGGGCAAGATAAGGGTGCGCTTAACGAGAAAGAAACGATGGGTTAATCACAGCAGTAATTTGTTGTTTGGGAAGCATCGTATGATTTGTGGCCCACTCTGACTGTTGCTCTCCAACTCGGTCTGTCAGGAACGAGGCTCTCCCTTGTCGAAGTATGGTTATGTTGAAATTCTTTAAAGAAATTTTCATGGTGTCTTTGTAGAGCTTTTTGGTGCGTCAATTTTACACTTTTCTGGGGACAGCTCATAATAGAATACTGTCTTTGAAAATTGTATATGTTGAACGCACCTGTCAACACTCTTAGCTTATATAAGAGGCGGGACCTCCGATTTTAGCGTCAATCTCTGAAAGGACCGAGCCAAGTGGGAAATTCGTATAAAGTGCCTTTCCCAAGGACACAACGTCGGACCGAGCTGAGGCTCAAACACCCGAACCTGCAATCTCACGATTACGAGCCCGGAAGCCTAAATGATATTACCTTTGGAATGCTTAATTAAACCAGGTATTCTTTAGACATGGATATCCCAGCAAAGTTGAGTCCCGTAGAGTTGACCCTACCTTTGTTGTGTGTTTGTGTGCTTGTGTGTGTGTGCGTTTTATTTTGTGAGTGTTTTACGGCGCTCGCAACTGCATAATGTCGTATGAGTGCGTGGGACACATTCAACCTTTTACAGGACTGGCGCTCATATGACCTTATGCAGTTGCGAGCGCCGTAAAACCCTCTACTATAAAAAAAAAT